ATTTGGTGTCCTCTAGTCCTTCTATTATGGGAACTAATGAAGAACTTTTCTTTATTCACCCTCTCCACACCACTCATGCTTTTATAGACCTCTATCATATCCCCCCTCAGTCTCCTCTTTTCTAAGCTGAAAAGTTCCAGTCTCTTTAGCCTCTCTTCATATGGGACCTGTTCCAAACCCCTAATCATTTTAGTTGCCCTTTTCTGAACATTTTCCAAGGCCAGAATATCTTTTTTGAGGTAAGACCACATCTGTACACAGTACTGAAGATATGACGTACCATAGTTTTATATTTCCCCTCCTCCTTCTTCCCCTGGATTCCCCCTTCCAGCTCCCTCCTCCCAGGTTTCCCCCTCCCCTCTTCCACCCTCTCTCTTCCCCTCTCCCACCTCCTTTTCCCAGCCTCCCCAGAGGTTAATCGCCCCCCCTCCCAGTTTTGTTAAATAAAGAGAGTTTCTATTTTTGAACACGTGTCCTTTATTTTTTACATCAGGAAGGGGGGCTAGGGAAGGGTAAGTGAAAGGAGGTGAGGGAGGAATGGGGCATGAGCTGCAGACTCCTCGGGGTGGAAGCTCTCCTGCAGGGCCCCCTGGGTCCTGACAGCCTCCCGACTGACCCCTCCCTCCGGATGGCAGCCTGCGGCAAGTGCAGCCGGGCTGATGGCCAAGTGCTATGATGTGCCGAGTGAGTGCACTCAGGGCACTCCAAGTCAGGACTGCTTTGCTGTCCCTCATCGAGGTAAACAAGCAAGCGGGGAACCCTGAGAACTGTCTGTCCGGGGTGGGGGTTGGGTCCCTTTAAGCACAGCCCTCGGTTAGCCTGAGGCAGCAGCTCCACACTCTAAGTCCTAACCTGATGCCCTGCCGGCACTGGTTCCGGCCAGCCTTAACTTCGGTTCTGCTCCACTCGATGTGGACATGCTATTTCAAATTAGCAAACGCTAATTCGAAGTAGTTTTTAGGTTTAGATGCACTAATTTGAATTAGCTTAGTTCAAATTAACTAATTTGAATTAAGTTAGTTCGAATTAGTGCTGTAGTGTAGACATACCCTGACAGAATTCAAAATGTTTTTGAAAGAGATCTGTCAGATACACATTTTCATCTAATATGGTATGGCTGCTGAGTACTGAAAGCTAATATTTATAGCAGGCTTCCTGTCTTTGAAGTCAGATACTGGAAGTGCAAATGACTGGATTCTCTTTTTTTCAAATGATAAAATCAGGAAATGTCCAAAATCATATTTGTATGCAGTATAGTTGACAGATTCATTTTAATTTCCCTAAAGTGAAATGAGTTTTCAAAGTTTTTTTAAATTATGCTAACTAGACCTGTTTTTAACTTGGTTCTTTTGGTAGGCTAGTAAAGTCCAAAGGAACTCTTGAGCATTGTATATGTAGCCTAAAAATTTTGTACTTTGCTGTAGAAGAAATCCCTATAATTGCAGGTGCAAATATGGAAAACAGAGACAATCTAAATGCTATCAGGATGGGAAGAAACACTACAAGGGATTCTGGAATTCCAGAATCATTGGAAGATGGAGACATGGACTATTTGCACAATAAAAAAAGGTAAATATAGTGAGTAGTAATGCTGACAAAATATTTCATTTGTAGAATCTTCTTTAAGGACTTCTATCAACTGAAACTGGAAAAATATATATTTTAATTAAATTTAACATAAATTAAAGTTTTTAAAATTTATTTTCACTTGGTACTTTGATTTTATCTTCAGCCCTCAGCAGCATCAAATTAGAGCATCTTTGACTGATACTGATGTCAAACAGGATGTTAAGGTATGTTTTCAAAGATAGATCCATTTCTTCCACCAGGAAAAAAATCCTAATTTTCATTTCTGCTGGATCAGGTTATGAAGATGTATTATTCAAGTGTAGGTTTGAGTGTAACTGAAAAAAGTTGATTCTGCTTTGAAAAAAATTTGCAAATGAAAATAAACAACTGTTTAAGCAAAGAATAAACTCAAAAGCAGGCATTACAGTGACTAGCAACTTGTTACATTTAATAGAAACAACATGTATGATTTATTATGATAGTTTTTTAAATCTTAACTGAGTTTGGGTTTGCCAACTACCAACCATAAATATAGATTTTTTACATTAAAGATTACTTTTTAGTAATTAGTGTCCATTTCCTACTGGCAATATTTAGAAGTGTAAGTACAAATGCCATGGAAGTATAATATCAAAACCCACTTATTTTGAGACTTCTGGAAGCAACAGGGATAATCTACTATGTATTTAGGTGGGGTTGTGTGTCTGTGTGTCTGTCCCATCTATCTGTGAGTCTGTTCGTTCAAGAACTCCTCCTAAACAGTAAGAGCTAGGACCACCAAATTTGGTACGCATGCAGCTTCCTGTTAACATAACTTAAAGCAAGGTAAGAGTTCAGCTGTACCAGGACAATGGAATGTGCCTGGAATGCAGTTTTTCTCATAAAATGGAAAGGAGGGGGTCTGCTGGCAGAGACAGTTATATTGTATAATGACCACAGGAGGGCAGCAAGGGGCCAGAGATGGGTATGAGGACAGCCATATCCCTCCACTAAGGCAGGAAGGGGCAGGAGTACAGAAAGGGACAGCTATATGCTATATATTTGAGAGAGTTTGTCTGTTAATGTGTCTGACAATCTGTCTGTCCCCCAGCCAGTGATATGCACCCCTTCCCTGGCTGTGCCCACTGCAGCTGCGGAAACCATAGAGAGGTGCTTCTTACCTGGCTCCAAGCTGCTGTGGTGACATAGGTGTGGAGTTGTCCTCTGTCCCCGGGGAAGCCTACATGCTGAACCTCCCATCTCCAGCCCCATCCCAGGGCAATGATTTAATGAAGAAAACAATTATTTTAGTTAAGGACCTGAGCAATGATGGGTAAATCCTCTAGTATGTCTATAAAGTCTAATTTAGAGCATCTTTCAAACAGTGCAGAAGATGCATCTGTGGCATGGAGTACCACTTAAACTCTGACATTAGGGATCAAATGAGTTTAACTAGCACAGTCACACTCTCTGCAGTGGAGTGATTTTTGATCATTAGTTGAATTAATTTTGTAGAAAAGAACTAGACAATACAAAAACTGCTATTGTGACTTCTGCTATGTTTAGAGTATAGGTGGCTGAAAAAATAAAAAATTCAATATTTGACACACATTTTTACAATTTTTTCCAACTTTTTCTTTTTCACACAGCTCTACTTCACAGCAATTGAAAGTTCTTTCTTTTATATTTTTTTTAAGGAAACGATTGTTAGTTGTCAGAAGGAACATCATGCCAGATGCATTGTATATGAAGTGCGACTTTTAGTACAAGTTCTTTTTATACTATCATAAATTATACAGGCAGAGTGTGTGATTACGCATATTTACATTTTTATTTAATTTTATTAGTGATAAAAGATAATCATGCATAAAAATCAATAAGCCAAAAGCTAAATAATAAAAAAGATTACCACAACTCTTTGAACTCAGTATGTTTGTCAGGAATAATGAAAGATTCACTAGAGTTTCAAAAGATCTCTCTCAGAAAAATGTGTTAGAAAAATGGACAGCTCATAAAAGTTATCTGAAATGTTAATGTTCAGTTTTCTCTGAAATGAGATTCTATAAAATTAGCATTGTGGAGCTTCATGACGTAGCTCAATGATTTCTATATAAAATGTTCTCAATTGACAAATAAAAAGATTTTTTTCATCAGCCTTAAAATTCAACCTGGACGTGAGAAAGAAGCTAGGTTCTTTTCTTCTCATCCATCATCACCAGAATTTAAAGTTCTTTAAGCTTACTTCTGCCATTAGATTTATCTGTGCAACCCTATTGCCTTTATTTGGTTTGCAGAGGTCTGTATGACAGAACTCAGTAGACGTTTCTTCTGACAACACAAAAAAAGAAGGCTAAGCCAAATTCAAACCTCCCATTCACCTATGCATTCTTATCAGGGATCACAGATGAAGAGGGTGGCTGAGTTTGGTCCCCTGTGCATATTAACTTGATTAAAAATGATTCTCTAAATACAGGACAGATATTCCAGAGTCAATATTATGAGTTTCTATATTTTTCATTTGCCTCTAGACAGATCAGAATAACGTGAATCATCTTGAGTATTCAAGTCAATACATTTCTCCTCCTGCTCCACCTCTGCTGGCTCTTTCTGTAAACAGAATTCAAGTTCCCATATTTCAAACAGAGAGTAAGTATATGCTTCCAAGAAATCACTAGGAGTTAAATATTTATTCAAGATGTGAATGTTTATTTTAAAAGTTGAATTTATAAGTGCATAGTGTTAGTTCTATTGCTAAAATTGAACTGGTGTTTAAAAATTGCAAGCACTTATCACTTCAATGGCACAGAATTTGGCAGAGGCTCTCAGTGGCTGAAAAACCACCAGTGGGAGGTTATAATGACACAAAGATTTTGTGACCTCCTCTGTTTTAGGGGGACTACATAAGATGGCACTGGCTTAAGGTGGTATGTTGCTAAGATGACTGTTAAAAGGATCACTGTGGATCTCCAACTATTAACACAGAGCTAATTTCCAATAACAGAAACTCATAACTAGAGCAATGGAGGTAACTAAATGCCCCTGGTTGCAGTTTGCCAGACTGGTGCAGGCAGGTGTAATTTGTACTTCAGGGGGACTTAACAGTTGTGATATGTAACTTTTAGGCAGCCTGCTGCCTAATGGAATTCAAAACCCCGAGGCCACGTCTACACTGGCAGAGAAAAATCAATGAAAGATACGCATTCAGCTATGTGAATTGTGTAGGTAGAGTCAACATACCTTGTATCAATTTTCTGGAGCAGCCCCCAGAGTGGGAGGTCAACAGGAGAAACTCTCCTGTCGACTTCCCTTATTCCTCACAACTGCAAGGAGTTCTGCAGTCAACGGGGCCATCCTCAGCATTCGATTTAGCAGGTGCTTACCAGATTCCGCATGGATAGGGGCTGCTTCTACCCTGCACTGCTGCTGGTTTTTAAACAGGCTCCCTTCACAGACCAGCTTCCGCCTGCCTCCCCACACTGCTGCTCTGATAGAGGCAAAAGTACGAGGTGGCAGTGGGGCTCCCCGGAAGTGGGGTCAGAGCACACTGGCTGCTGAATTTGCCCCCATGGACTGTAGAATAGTTGACTAACTGCTAAGAATTCATGTGGTTAGTTGACTATTCTATTTCCCGATAGCTAAACATCCCAAAGCTGAGCAGTGGTTCTGTGAATGCCCTTGCCATCTAAATGTTGGACTTGGGTGCCTCACAAGAGAGTTTGGTGTCTATGTCCTCCTTTCTGAATTTACCCCTGTCCACTATCAACCCTTTTGCTGCAGTATGTATATTTAGCAAAATGCTTTCAGCAAGAACTATCCCTCTTCAGTTTTTGGTTATCTGGCAACAGTTTTCAATACCTGTAACATGTTTCTCGCACCTTCCTTTTAAATATATTTTTAGTCATGTATATGCATTTAATATGGACATTCGTTCTAATTCATTTGTGCATTTATAAATGACTGATGCATTCTGCATTTACATCACCCTTTTATATAGTGTGCCAGACTGGTGCAGGCAGGTATGATTTACACTTCTTGCACCAGCAAGGGCTGGATTCAAGAAGAGGACTTAATAGTTGCAGTATCTAACTTTTAGGCAGCCTGGAATTCAAAACCTTGAGTTAAGCTTTCAGGTTTGGCATAAAAGGCATGAGATGGGGAGAGTTAAGTGCCTATAAAGAGATTCACAGAAACCAGCATGCTAAATGGGAATCCTTATTTTATGTTCCTGCAAGGGATACACAATGAAAAAGTTGGGTATGCTTTATGGCACTTGCACTTCACTGAAACTTGCCTTTTCCACGTTTCGTATTCAGACTTTACTAAGTATAGGTTGTCATTTCTTTAGCAAGCAAGATGGCTGAACAGCTGAAACAAATGAAGGCTGAAAGACGGCACATGGAAAGAACTAGAGAGGAACTGGTTAAGAAAGTCAGAGGTTTGCTTGAACAAAATAAGCTGAGGAGATATCAGGGTATGTTTTTCAACTGTATCATAACTGTGTGAAAGTAAATGTGAAAATTGTATCTGCCTTTCTCTATCTAGTGTTATAATACATGCTTAATTACAGAGATTGCAGCTGGTTAAACAGGCCCAGCCAAATAATTTGCGGGGCCCAATGTGGCACACTGTGTTTGGCTGCGCCGTGGGCAGGCACGTGGTAGGCTGCGCGAGGCCCTGAAGGCACAGGGCCCAAGGCAACCACCTTGCTCGCCTTGCCCTAAGGTTGGGCCTGTGGATAAACAATACGGCTGTGTCTACACTGGCAAGTTATTCCGGAAAATCAGCCGCTTTTCCGGAAAAACTTGTCAGCTGTCTACACTGGCCGCTTGAATTTCCAGAAAAGCACTGACGATCTAATGTAAAATCATCAGTGCTTTTCTGGAAAAACTATGCTGCTCCCGTTCAGGCAAAAGTCTTTTTCCGGAAAACTGTTCCGGAAAAGGGCCAGTGTAGACAGCACAGTAGTGTTTTCCGCAAAAAAGCCCCAATCGCGAAAATGACGATCGGGGCTTTTTTGCAGAAAAGCGCGTCTAGATTGGCCACAGACACTTTTCCAGAAAAAGTGCTTTTCCAGAAAAGCGTCCTGCCAATCTAGACGTGCTTTTCCAAAAATGCTTTTAACGGAAAACTTTTCCATTAAAAGCATTTCCGGAAAATCATGCCAGTGTAGACGTAGCCTACCTGTCAAATGTTTCATTTTTGTGAATAAGTGTAGTAGAGAGGTTGAGGATTAAAATGCCTGTTCCCATTGATACTCAATGGTACTCTCATAAATATCTATGGGTATGTCTACACTACCACCCTAGTTTGAACTAGGGTGGTTAATGTAGTCATTCAGAGTTGCAAATTAAGCCCAGGATTTAAATATCCCAGGCTTCATTTGCATCTTGCTAGGCACCACCATTTTTAAATCCCCATTAGTACAGACTCTGTGCCCATAGCTACACGTGGCACAGAGTAGGTAGTTCAAATTAGGCTTTCTTATTCAAACTACCATTACTCCTCATTCAATCACTGTTGTTTAGGCCCTCAGACAGGGCCCTACCACCAGGTACAAAGGTCTTTCTCAATTTGGCTGGGTTTGGAACCCATGCCCCTTGTCTAGCGAGTGCTACTTAGTTTATGGCGAATCCCTCTGTCATAAACAGTTCCACCATTCCATTGTCCTTGATTCGCATAATCAGGGTAACAACACTTTAATCCCCCCTGCCTCAATAACAGAGAGACTGGGGATCCCACAGTGGCCAAAGTGACCATTTGGGCTGCTGTGAGCACATACTAGACAGGGTGGGTGTGTCTATGCAAATTGGGATCAGCCCCTGAAGTCTCTTTGCACCACTCGCCACAGTTCACCACCAGATGTCAGGGTAGAGTTTACCCTGACCCCGCTTACATCCTCCCCCCAGCCAAGAATTTGTCGTCCCGACAAATCACACCACCTACTATACCCACTCACTGGTTCCCCCCAAAGGGCCTCAGGAAGCCCACTTTAGCTTGTACAAGCCTGTGTGGTAAATGTATGGGCTCCTCACTATTCACCCCAGGTGCATCATAAGTTAACCATTTTACTGGTCTTATTACCCTGTCTCGTCTATTGAGAATTTCTGTTCCCGTGGTGGGGGAAACATCCTCTTGAGCAATGGATAGTGAGGTTTCCTCTGCGGGCCCCTCGGCTATTGGCATAGGCCCCTGCATTTCTAGTTCTAGCAGTGGAGGGTCCAGGGTGCCCTGGACATCTTCCCCCTGTATGTCTCCACTTTCCAATAACCTGTGTGTGTCCTCACACGGGTCCCACCAGTGGCACAGGGGTGTCAGAAATGGACCTAAATACTTCTGCCATGGGGTTTAGGGTCACCCACCCTGTCTAGTATGTGCTTACAGCAGCCTAAATGGTCACTTTGTCCACTGTGGGATCCCCAGTGACCAAAGTGACCGTTTGGGCTGCTGTGAGCACAAACTAGACAGGGTGGGTGTGTCTATGCAAATTGGGATCAGCCCCTGAAGTCTCTTTGCACCACTCGCCACAGTTCACCACCAGATGTCAGGGTAGAGCTTACCCCTACCCAACTGTTTAGGTAGTGTAATAATTAGTTTCCATTGTCCTTGATTCGCATAATCAGTGTAACAACACTTTTATCCCCCTGCCTCAATAACAGAGACACTGGGGAGTCATTGATTTTAAAAAACAATGCTAAATTGTTCAGACCTGTGTAAACTGCTTTGAAATTGAAGTACATTATGCAAGTACTGTGTGCTGTTAATTATTTATTATTAATTATCGTTATTCATTATTATTATTATTATTATTATTATTATTATTATTATTTTATTATTATTATAAATATTATTTGGTTAATGTACTGTATATTAACCTGATCAAGAACAGCAGTGCTGCGTTTGTCCTGTATAGCTCGTGATGCATGGAAAAAGAAATACTTTGAAACTAAGAAAGCTACAGCTTCATTAGAGGATATTTTAAATAAACTGCGACAAGATTTAGAGCTTTACTACCAACAGCTACTGTTGAAGCTGGAAGCCAGAGATGTCAGGAAACGACCAAACAATTTAACTCACATTGCAAACACCAAGGTAATATCATTTGTTCATATTTGTCAATTCCTTTCTCTTGTGCTACAAATTACTTAATCTGCCCAGTGTTTCATAGACATTGCGTACCTCATTTTACATGAAAGTATGTGCATATCAACAAATGGCTGTGGCAAAGGAGGAAACCTTCAGCAGCTTCCACCACTTGAGCCTTTCCCTGTGGCTGTTGGAGTCATTTCCTTCATTGGGAAAAATTTAGTTTAGTTTTGCATAAACTAGTATTTTTAATATAACAGAGATTTTTCATGAATGAATCATACATATCACACTTTGTTTGCTAGTGTAAAGATGTTTCAAATGTCTTTGTGTACAGCACAGCAATAGGCACAAATACCCTTTAAATTCATGCAGAAAGATTGGACACTTCCTACTGGGTTGAAGAAGTAGGGAATTTGTAATGTTAGTATCCGTGTCAATATCTGCATTACATGCCATGGATGTAATGCAGAGATATTGACACAGGGATATAAAGAAGTTTTCAAAGGCCTGAAGCATCAGGAAAAGACTAGCACACGTGTCCTTTTCAGCTTCATTGACTTCAAGGATGTTCTGCTGATGACCAGCAGTTAAGGATCTGGCCCCTTCTTTTGAAAACACTTATTGTCATTATAACTAAGCTTTTTAATGTTTGAAATATGACGCTGCCATTCTAGAGGTGAAATGCTCTGTTTAATCTGTACTTTCCATGAATGTGTGTCTTCCTGACTGACACATGGTAATGGTATTATATGGATGAGAATGAGACACTCATGAAGCCATAGACAGAGTGCAGTTGTGAAGACCAATGGCAGAAGAATGAGTAATGGGATTGGGAAAATAGTGAGTGCACCCTGGTCATCTGAAGACTGGCAGGGCCTAGCTGATGCAGGGACCTGTCCTTCGTTGGAGAGAAGACTGCTACAAAACAGGACATTTGATGGGGGAGTGGGATGTTAGGGGATGGGAAGTCAAACTGTAGGAAGCTTAGAAGAGTTGATAGGATTACTGTCCTATGGGAGAAAAGCTGTGGTTAATAACTACAATGATAAGAAAAACATATAGCTGAGCTTCATAAAAGCTTTTGATTTCTTCCCCATAGAACACCACGATCATCCAGGTTACAACAGTGCAGCATGAAATTGATCAACTGAAGCAAAAGCTGGATAATACAAAAATGAAACTCATAATAGAAATTAAGGTAATTTGCATTTATTCTAACCAGCCTGCAAATTAAACAGCCTGCACATTTTTTTCTTCTAATAATCTGGAGCCAACAAATATTTGAGAATTTTAAAACAGTATTTGAAAAGAGATTGTGTTAGTTGTGGCTTTCACTTGAGCAAAATTACAAACCTGACTTTTACATTTTCCATGAACTTCATAAACTAAGGTCTAGTCTACATTATAAATTATACCTAAAGGCAACTTTTGCCAACAAAACAGTGGAGGAGAAAACACTACAATGCTACTTTTGTCAACAAAACTCTGCTGTTTTACCAGCAAAAATAAAACCACCTTGATGAAAAGTGTTGAGCTTTTTGTGGCTAAGGTAAAGCAACAAAGCCTCATTGCGGTCTCAAACTTCCAGCCCGCAGGCCAGTCCCAACTGTAGCAATTGTGCAGTCTGGCCTGGGATTTTGGAGGGCACCTTTCCATTACCAAGTCCCAAGCTTTCCCTCTTCCCACCCCGCTGCCGCCGCCATGGGGATTGTGGAGAGGTGAAGTGCTGTTGCTGTGCGGAGCCGGGCCCCTTGGTGATTGGGAAGCACAGCAAAGAAAGGAGCAGTCTAGAGCAGTATTTCTTAAACTGTGTCCCGCTGGTGTGCCGTGGAGAACAACAGAATTCAAAATGGCCACCCTTTAAGGGACAGGCAACCCTTTTTTTTTTTTCTAAAAAAAAAATCCTTGGTGTTCCTCATAAAAAAAAATATTGTTTGGTGTTCCTCAGTCTTAAAAAGTTTAAGAAACACTGGTCTAGAGGATATCAGCTCATCAAACAAAGGTCTGGGAAAATCAGGGCACAGCAGGATGTAAGGGTTGATCCCTGGGATGAGAGGCTGGGAAACTAGACCATACCAGGCCAGGGAAACCACAGAGCGAGGGGTCATGATGGGGTAATTGGGACATAGGAAGTAGGGTCAGTTCCTGGAGTGAATGGCTGGGGTGGGGAAACTGAGGTATAGCATTGTGGGGAAGTCTGCCTCTTGAGTAAGGGGCCAGGGACATCAGGACACAGTGGGGCATGGAGGGGCAGAGGAGTTAACCCCCCCCCC